GATGGCGTCCTGAGGCCTGAGTGGGGCCGGGTGGAGCAGCGAGGTGTGAACGGGGACTGGAGGCCTCAGGTTGAGGGGAACAGGGGTCAGTGGGGTCTGGGGAGGGGTGAGGGGAAAGAGGCCGGGGCTGTGGGGCGGGTGAGGTTGTGGGATATGGGAGAAGGGAATGGCAGGGTTTTGGGTTGTGGGGTTGAGAGGAGCAGGGGTCAGTGGGGTCTGGGGAGGGGTGAGGGGAAAGAGGCCAGAGCTCTGGTTTTGGGGTCTGAGCAGGGCCAGGGAGGTTGTGGGGTATGGGAAAAGGGAATGGCAGAATTTTAGGTTGTGGGGTTGAGGAAAACGGGATTAGTGGGTGAGGGGAAAGGGGCTGGGCCTCAGGTTGTGGAGTTGAGGAGAACAAGAGATCAGTGGGGTGTGGGAAAGGGTGAGGGGCTCTGGTTTTAGGGTCTGAGCAGGGCTGGACTGTGGGTTAGGGGAGAGGGGAGTGGGCAGGATCCCGGGCTGTGGGGTCTGGATGGGGGTGAGGGAAGCAGAACAGGGGCAGGGGGGCAGCACTGGTGGGAAATGGGCTGGGCAGGAGCAGCCAGCACAGGCACAGTGTGAGGGTGCTCTGGGCTGCCCTGCTGCAGGGACAGAAGGGTTTTCCTTGGCACAGACAGGCACAGGCTCTGCTGGGGCAGGAGAGCACAGAGATCTGAGCCTTGTGTGCTGCCTGTGCAAATAGGTCCCCTGCCATGGGGACAGCTGTGCTCCAGAGGGGCTGTGCTGGGAACACAAAGGGTTAACCAGCTCTGGCAGCAGCAGTCCCCAGGCAGTGTGGTTTGCTCTGCCCCCAGAATTACCCCCTGTACATCCGGAGTGTCCCCACGGAGAACGAGCTCAAGTTCCACTACACCGTGCACACCTCCCTGGACGTGGTGGATGAGAAGATCTCAGCCATGGGCAAAGCCCTGGTGGACCAGAGGGAGCTCTACCTGGGGCTCCTCTACCCCACTGAAGACTACAAGGTGTATCCTTGTCATGCTTTGGGCCAGGCCTTTGTGGGTTTGGTTTAATCTCAGAATATCCTGAGCTGGAAGGGATCATCAATCCAACCCCAGCCCTGCACAGACACCCCAACAACCCCACCCTGGGCATCCCTGAGGGCATTGTCCAAAGGCTCTTGGAGTTCTGGCAGCCTCAGGGCTGTGCCCATTCCCTGGGCAGTGCCAGCACCCTCTGGGGGAAAAACCTTTCCCTGATATCCAACCTAAACCTGCCCTGACACAGCTCCAGCCATTCCCTGGGTGCTGTCCCTGTCCCAGAGAGATCAGCTCAGTGCCTGCCCCTCACGAGGAGGTTCCCCCATGTTTCCTGTCCCTCTGGGCACAGCCCAGCCTGCTTTCTGCTGTGTGGGAGCAGCTCCTTGACCCCTGCCCAGCTATGGCTACGTGACCAACTCCAAGGTGAAGTTTGTCATGGTGGTGGATTCCTCCAACACAGCCCTGAGGGACAACGAGATCCGCAGTGTGAGTGCCCCAGGGCAGAGGAACCCAGGGTGCTGAGGAATCAACAATTGATGGATTCACCTCCAGCCTCACTGGGGCTGCCCCTGCCAGCCCCCCAGGCTGCTGAGGAACCAGCAATTGATGGATTCACCTCCAGCCTCACTGGGGCTGCTGAGGAACCAGCAATTGATGGATTCCCCTCCCCTCCCTTTGCAGATGTTCCGCAAGCTGCACAATTCCTACACAGACATCATGTGTAACCCCTTCTACAACCCTGGGGACAGGATCCATTCCAGGTGAGTGCCTTGTCCACGTGGATCTCTGACACCTTTCTGGTATTTTCAGAGCACCTCTGATGCCACAGGACCAACCTGTGCTTGGCCAGTTCAGGTGTGTGCTCTAAGAGCCTTAATGAGAGCAGTGATGTTGGTTTGGGGCTGTTCCTACTCCTGAAAAACTGAAGGTGTCATAGAAAGTTCTACTGAATTCTCACTGCTACCTCAGAACTGGGGTTACAAACCTTAAGCCAAAAAAATGTATCTTTTTGTGAGAAAAAATTACCTGAAAATAGAGGTAATAATAATAACCCCCAAACAAACATAGAATTAACCCCAGAACTAACCCCCCCAAAAAACCCAAACAAAAATGCAAACCATGATGATAAATCATCAACCAATCACCCACCTAATTTTACATTCTTGTAGCTTGATTGATGGTCTTGGAGGTCTTTTGCAGATTTAATAACTGTGAATATTGAAGTGTAATAAGTAGAACAGGTTAGAGTGAACAAGTGCCCTTGTCCAGGTTTTATCCTGGGTAGGGACAAACATTCAGCACATGGAATTCCTCACCTGTGAGGGTCAGTGTCCCCCATTCCCATTGTAACCTCACAGGGAATTTCAGTAAATTGGGAGTTTCTGTTTCTTGGCAAGAACAACTTTGCACACACAGAACAGCAGCCAGGATAAGACCTGTCCTTACCTCAGCTTAATTAAAAGTCATTAATCCCTCAAGAGCCTGTGCTGTGAAGAGGAAAACCCTGTGTCCAGGCAGAGGCAGGGTGAGAAAGTGGTTTTGTTACAAAAGCTGTGCAGAATGAGCTGCTTCCCTTAATAATCTCTGTTTATTCCCCTCTCCAGGGCTTTTGATACCATGGTGAACTCCATGATGATGCAGGTGTGCTGAGCCCCTTCCCACCCCCCTGGGAAACATTCCCTGTGTGCAGGAGCATGCCTGCAGTGCTGTAAATATTCCATTCTGTGTCATAATTTAAATTTCTTCTGTGTAAAATAAACCTGACACCTGCAAGCTTTGCCTGGATTTGTACTCGAGCAAACCCAAACCACTGCTCAGAGATCATGGCATGGTTTGGGTGGGAAGGGACACTAAAGCCACCTCACAGGGACATCTTGCACTGTCCCAGGCTGCTCCTGGAACAAGAGGAGCTCCAAGGTCCCTTCCAACCCAAACCTTTCCAGGAGTTTCCCTGCCTGGGCTGAGTTCTGGGTGCCTCAGGTGCTGTTCCCACTTTGCACAGTGACTCCCAGCCCAGGTAGAGCAGCTGGAATGAACCCACCCCATCCAGCATGGATTAAACCATCAGGATTGCACAGCTGCCTGCCTCATCCCAAATTCATCTCCATTAGCATCTCCCCCTCCCCTGCAGCTCCCTGCTGCTCTAATTACAGACTCCCAAATCAGCAGCAGGTATTTATGTGGAATAAAGCACAAATTGCACTGAAAAGCACCCCAGCTCCATCACAGGAGATGCAGGCACACACAGCTCTGCTGCAAGCACCTCCTCAGTTCAAAACCACAGAAACCAGCTAAAAATAACAGATCTGCCCAGATCTCCCATCCCCAGGGGCCTGGACAAAGCCAGAACTGCACATGAACTTCACACAGCAGGATCGTTTATTTTAAAAATAAGTAACAGTTACAAATACTTGCTCAAACAGAACTTAAGTACATTTTATCAGCAACCACCTGGAATATCAAGGGAGGTTCAAGCCTCTCCCACCATCTCCACAAGGCACAGCTGTGCACTGTTATCCACAAACATTTCCAGCTAAAAAATTTGGCTGTTTTCACTCACAGAGATGGCAGCTCAGTGTTGCCTCTTCCACAAGAGAGTCCAAATACCCCAAAGTAGTTTTTTATTTAAAAATAACCCTCAAAAATGTATAATCCTATCAAACAGAAGCCCTAGAAAAAGCTGGTTTACAGTCTTAAGCCTAAGGGTAGCTCAAATCAAGGTCGGTCTCAGCAGCTCTGAGGACAATATCAACACAACATGCAGAGTTAAGGCCCCAAGCTTTAAAAAAATCTACAGATCTTAAAGGGGGGGAAAAAAAAAATCAGTGGGATTTTTAGCCTGGCAATGCCCCTGAGCTGTGAAAAGCTGCTTTAGGAGTCGGTTGCATCTGCTGCATCTGGGTTAGAGGAATCCTAACCAAGGATCCTGAAAGATTAGAGGGAGAATTACATAATAAAACCCATTTCCATGCAGAACTTCTCCCAGGAATGCTGTCTGCCTGGGTTCCCAGCCTGCCCATTCTAACACAAAGCTTTTCCTTTAAAAACATGGGGCTGCATAAACACAAGTCCAGCAGGGAAGGGAAGAGCCAGGACCCTTAACTTGCCTGGTACCCAGCTCCTGTGGTGCTCTTTGGTCCTGAGCCTCCTGCAGGGCTCCCACCACCCCCAAAAGTGACTCCAGAGCAGCAATGGTGATGGGAATGAAGAGACCAGACCAAAGTGCACCAGTGAAGGTGGTTTTGTAATGCTGCTATGCAAGAAATAAAGTGAGGAGTTGCCAGCATCCTTTGACCCCTGGAGCTTGGAATAAAAGCAGGAGGGAGGGAAGAGGAGTTTGCTGACAGCCAAACTAAAAGAGAGGAAGGATTTTGTGACACCCAGGTCTTGTTTAACTACCACAGAGATACAGGGGCTCCCAGAGAAACAAGAGATGCTTTTTCCCTGTCCTGGATGTACAAACACAGCGAGCTAAAAACCAGACCCAAACCACATCAGGCCTCCCAAGAGAAAGGTCACACTCAGGGCTGATGATGGAAAAGCTCCCCAGCAATCAGATCTGGAGCTGCAACACAAAACCTTCTCCATGCATTTGGGAAAGGAAACAGTCTCTAGGCTCTCAGAAGAAGAGAAGGCTGAGCATGCAGCTGCTGTAGGAAGAGCTGAGGAGCTTCATGGCCAAGCAGTGGCATGGAAGGCAGGCATGCAGTCAGGCAGGAGCCAAACCAAACTCTCCAGGACAGCCTTTTCCATGGAAGAAGGAGGAGTCTTGATGGTCTGGGAGATCTCCTCCCTTCCCAGGACAGAGTTCTCTGGAACGAACCTGTTCTCCGTGCCAACACAAGGCTCTGGGCAGAGCTGAGGTGGGATGAGCTCTCCTGGGTGCTGGAGCATGGAGCAGGTCCCATCTTCCCTCCTGCAGCCAGCACGGGGCTCACCAGCAATCCTCACGGCCAGGCAGATGGCATTCTTAAAATTAATCTGGTTTTTGGCTTGGGCAGGCGTATTTTTAAATCTCTCCCATCCCATCTCCTCATTTCAGTCCCATTGGCATCACCAGGCAGTCCAGCCTCTTCTAGTATGGAAAATACCAAGGCAGCAGCCTTGCCCGACCCCTGCACAGGAACAAAAGCAACACCCTGAAGCACAGGGGCACCACCCCCTGCTTCTTCAGCCTTCCAAGGGCTGAGACCCCCAAAACTAGGGGATCCCCACAGCCAGGCCCAGCTCTGGGACTGGTCAGGCTGGGACAGTGCATTGCCCACCCACCACTCCCCAAATTCCTGCAGGGACAGGTGACAACTCCAACATTGCAGACATTCCTTCCCTCCAGAGCCCTCCTCCATTCTCCCAGCCACACCACAGTGTGTGGGAAGGGCACAGCAAAGCCCACCCTGCTGCACACCTGAGCAGCCCAGCAGAGCCCACCCTGCTGCACACCTGAGGAGCCCAGCAGAGCCCACCCTGCTGCACACCTGAGCAGCCCACAGGGGCACAGCAGAGCCCACCCTGCTGCACACCTGAGGAGCCCAGCACAGCCCACCCTGCTGCACACCTGAGGAGCCCACAGTGGCACAGCACAGCCCACCCTGCTGCACACCTGAGAGCCCACAGGGGCACAGCAGAGCCCACCCTGCTGCACACCT